TCTCGAATTATTAATATTTTTTGACGCCCTTGGCTCGAGTTCAGGGCGTCCCGAGCTGAATAAGGGCGTCAAATGACGGCAAGACGCCCCCCTGGCAGAAACGCTGCAGAGATTGTTTTTATATAATTGTATTCAATAAACGTAACGAAATTCAACAGTATGAAGTGATTTGTAAATAGGAATACAGATTTTACTTAATGTTTTCATAAATATATTTTTCTCCCAGTTTGTCATGGGACTTATTTTTACCCTCTCAAAGAACCAGAATCGAGAACTGAAAATAATCGGAATCGAAAAACAGAACCGGAATCGTTAAAATCCAAACGATACCCAACCCCATGTGTGATGCAGTAAAATCTTACCGCTCACTTACGTAAGCGGTGTCGTAAAAACCGTGGGAAAATGTAAAATACGATGGCGAAGAAAAAGATGGCCAGTGGCCCCAATTTTTTCTCCATTCTGGGCAAGTGAAAAATGTATTCGGACAACTAAATTGCCAAACTCACTTGTCCATGGACAAGTACTCTCTAAAAACTTTTTCTCACACTGCTGATGGATTTATTTGAACAATGACGGAAAAATCTGAAAGCAGTCAGTCATTTTGACAGATTAGAACAAACCCAGAACAGCGCCAAAGTTTCCCCGCAGCGAGGCTCGGGTGTTATTCCGTGTTATGCATGCCCATTAAAATGGAAATAATATAGTTTCCAAACCTAACTTAGCTGTACAAATCATTGAAATGTCTGAGTTTATGCTTTACGCTGTGCGCTCTACCGCGAGGTGCAGTGGGCATGCATAAAATGGCGCTACAGTTCACAAGCTTTGGTTGCTGGTGCTTCCTCCTCCTCCTTCATTCTTACCTTGTATTTGTCTACGATGGGCAACCTGACTGGCCCATCAGTGGATCTGTTAAAACTTGGCAAACTGTCCAATTGTGGAATGAACGGTAACCCTCTGAAAAACATCAGATATAAAAAGCAGTTAGTAAAAAAAAAACTTCAGTCAATAAAGTAAGAATTTCTAAAGTAGAGAGTGGACTCACGTGTACCAGGAGCACATGTCAGTGGGCTCTTTCAGGTTGGCCCCTGTGAGTCCAGAGCACGGCATGAAGTGAATGTCTTTTTTTGGGTTGAAGCCCACCTTCTTCAAAAATGGCACTAGTTTCTCCTTACATTCCTCATATCTGAGGGAGCAACAACAGGGGCCATGTCAACATCGTCACAGGAAGAGAACACAGAGGGCAACACACCGTGTGTGTGTGTGACATAGATCCAGAATAACTGTCAACACTTCACCATATGGCCGTGAGCATACAAAATGGGGGGGAAATATTAGAGCACCTCTACAGAGTGGTGCAGGAATGAGTCCTAAATGTCAGAAGTGAGTTAGCATTTTACCACTTCCCGTTCCCATTGCTTTAAGTTGAGGGGAAACTTGCGATGCTAACTTCCATGGTTAGCCTAAAACCCCAATAAAATCATGAACCAAGAGCTACTTGAAAAATGTGTTTTTCTCCATGTGCCCACCTCTCCAGGCTCCAGTTGACTGTTGGGTCGTCCATTTTATTCACCAGTACGATCAGGTGCTTGACCCCGGCCGTTTTGGCCAACATGGCGTGCTCTCGCGTCTGCCCACCCTTCTCAAAACCAGTTTCAAACTCTCCTTTCCTGGCAGAGATCACCTGAGGGACAACACATTCATTTGGTTAGTGGTTCTGTTTACATGGAAATAATCAAACTGCATGTATGTGACTCTTTTTTCAGTTATTTATCTCAGCAGCTTTATTTGTCACACACTAAACAGGATAGATTCAGTGATAAACTACATGAGGTATAGGATCTGTGTACAAACCAAAAACAATCCTTATTATGGAATCATGGATTTCAAGAGTGTCAATTAAACGGTGAAGGCTGATGTCATTGATGGTTGAATTGTGTGTCTATTTGAATGTTCCTGCTGAAAGGAATTGTGGGACAGTTGTATCTACTTTTCTTTGGTAATGTTGTTTCAGAGTTTCCCATGCTAAAGGAGATGAGAAAGGAAGCAGGAAATGTGCTTCAATGCCTCCTTTATCATCTCCTGCACCACTCCGTAGTGCTGTTATATTTATCATTCAGTGAATTTGAACAGCTCTCATAATGGATGAACCTTCAATGACTAATCAACACTCCTGGGTAGAAAAAGGCTACAAGCCAGGTTTTGCTGTGATGCTCCAACATGTGGTCCTCCTGTGAACTCACCAGAACAGCAAGGTCGGCCTGTGACGCTCCTCCAATCATGTTGGGGACAAAGCTTTTGTGGCCTGGAGCGTCTAGGATGGTAAAGTGCTTTTTGTCTGTCTCAAAGTACGCTCGGCCGACTTCCACCGTCTTGCCTTTGTCCCTCTCCTCTTGGTTGGTGTCTAAAGCCCAGGACAGATACCTTGGAGACAGAAAAGTGATTTGGTCACATGTGAGATGATTTCTAAAGTTTTTCATGTACACCATATTATGGATATATCTATGATAAACACAAAAGATGAGCTAACAGCTAGCTGTACACATGGCTGAAAAATAACAATTAACAATCAAATCTTAAGTATACCTAGTTGGCGTTCATTTTACTTCAGAATAGAGTATATTTCCATGTTGAAGAAACAATACAAGAGCCTGATGGTTCAGACAGCAGGGAGCCACTCACCAGGTTTCCCTGTTCTTCTCCTTGGCTTCTCTCTCGTACTTCTCCAAGGTTCTCTTTTCTACCATGCCTGTCAGATACCTGTGAGAGGAGGACAACAGAGAAATGTACAACAGGTAAAAGCTCTGTTGTGTTGAAAGAAACTCTGCTTAATATAAGAAAAGGCGATGAACCAAAAAAAGGAAGACCACGACTCACATGATTTGTCCGCCAATGGTGGACTTGCCAGCATCTGTAGAAAAACAAGCAGAGCGGGTTTAGAGGAATTACACTGGGACATTAGATATGATAAGCTTCTGTCTCACGGCCAGAAGCGGCGTTGGTTGTGGCCGGGGATTTTAACACCGCTAACATGAAGAAGATCCTGCCGAAGTACTACCAGCACATCAGCTGCCCGATGGAAAAATACTGGACTATGTTTATTCCCCTTTTCGACAGATATAGGGCTCTCCTTCGCCCTCCCTTCGGCAAATCAGACCACTTCTCACTGCCGCCTGCTTGCAGGCAGAAACTTAAACGGGATAGACCGGTAACAAAAGGCGCTTTCACAACGGAGCAGTGTTTCCGCCAGACCAGGGCTGAGAGGGCGTCCACCCCGAGAGCGGAGGGGGAATTTTGACTTGAGCCGTCCCTTATAGATACTGTCTTACGTTAGTGAGCCGGATCATTTGGCTCGGCTCTCTTAAAGGGGACCTATCTTGCTATATTTGAATAATATATTGTAGGGCCATATCTATATAAGGTATATTTATAAGTTTTATTTGTCAAAATACCAAACAGATCATGCATTTTAGCCATGCCTGATTTTGCCTCACTCCAGCTCTGTCTTTGCATGAGCTGGAGTCCCAGCAGCTTCTACTGAAGCCAGTCGCCAACTCCGGGGACTTCCGGCCGGGGACTTCCGGCCGGGGACTTCGGGCGGCAGTATACGCCATGAAGTTGTTTGCTGCCTTCCAGTAAACCCAAAGCAGAAGAAGAAGTGACGTCAGCGGCTTCATTTGCCTAATCCTCCCTCAGGGACTTATTCTGGTGTGAACGCGATCTGCTCTTTAGTTCATCAGAACTAAGTACGGCAAAGTACTTTGTGTGAAAGCGCATAATG